TATTGACATCAGTCATCTTTATCTTAGTAAATAATAGTGGTAAGCGATAGTATTTCATTCATTTCATGTTGTTATACATAAGTGTAACCGGGTTGTCTTGTTTTCTTTTGTTTTGTTTTGTTTTGTTCTCATGGATACATCTATTGACTAATAATGTTATATGTATATGTATATATGTATCAGAAGGGGTTTTGTGAAGATCATGAATCAACTGAGGCCAGACCATCATGGAAAACCTGTAAGCACTGGATGGCCGTTTCGTCTTAGAATGGGACTCCTCAATGGTGCGCATCCACAACATTGTACAATGTAGCACCTAGATCATCTACTGTATATAGGATATTATGCAAAATCTTAACTTTCAATAGTTGTTCACATTTATAACTAGTTTATCGAACTGGTTATATAACTGGTTATGTAACGTATGTAACGTATCATTACACTAAACATTTTATTCAATAGAAATACTTAGATAAATTTCTAGTCTCCATTCTTCTCAAAGACAACATGATATCCTGAACATTGTGTTCAGTATACATATTCCGATCGATGAAATTATTAATTAGGCAATAGAGAGCTATTCACAATTTGTGGTATAATGCACATCTTACATTGATGTATTTGGACTTAATCACTCCTGACTCGTGAACTTTACATTCATTGCATTGAACATTATTGTAAATGATAAATGTTTGTCATTGTTGTCATGTTCAAAGGGTTATGGTGTGGGATTTTGTAGATTCATGGCAAGAAAAAGAACATATTGTAAAACACATTAGTTTGATATGAGGAGTTTGAAGGGAATATAACTGAGATTCTAGGCGAACAAATAAAGTTACTTGTTATGTGACAGATTAGAAAGACACTTTTGTAGTAGTTTACATCATTTATCAGTTGAATGAGTCCAAGTGTTTTGTTTGTTTTACAGTTCGAAATGGAGTGATCGACGAGAGACGTTTCAAGTTCGGAATCGGTTAACCAAATTTGAAAATATATATCGATATATATCTGAATCATGCTATACATTGAAAGAAAATAAACTTTATTTTCCAGTGATGATGTTTCGTTTTAATAACTTCACTATATATCTTAATCAACTTCATGAGTAGTACAGTAATAGTGTTGAACTACGTTAACTAACTTAATCGATTTCTAAACTATGATCATATTGCTCTACATTCATCAAACATTCATCAATAACACCATTAAGATTAACTAAATAATTCAGCAACATTACCTATTCATACACTTTTGTAACTATGTGATAAAATAGAGAAAGTGTTGGGAGAATAAGCATTCATTGCACACGATCATCTACTACTTAGTTAATTCAAATAGAATGCAAAGTATGAGATTAAGAGAATAAACAGATGACTTTAGTAAGCGATTGTATTGTTAGCTTGATTGAATGAAGCATAATGTCATATGTGAGTTTCTATTGAAATGGATGAACAAAATGAATACAATGTCCAAGTGAAAATGATCACAGACATTTCCCCTAATCATGCAAACGATTATGATTCGGAGTGTTGCTGAAATCCAAACTGATTCAGGTAAACTAATCGAGGCACTGTTTTCAACTTTATTAATTATATGGTAATCCAATGCATATATAAAACAGCCATCCCTACGTTTAGTTTCTCTGTTTCTATTCATCATAAGTGATCATAGTGAAATCTTCCCTATCGATCTACAATTAGACCACGTTTCGCATAAGTAACTACAACAACAAATTATTGACGATAGTACAAAGTTGTTTTGTTGTTGGTGGTGAAGATAATTTGGAATTTATTTTTAATAGGCTTGATTATTCCAGATCAATCAGTCTATTTAGGTCAAGTAGTCTCCGTATCCAACGTTACTGAATAATACAATCAGTTAGTTTGAGAATCAAATTACAGTAACCTAAAAAACTATTCAGAATATGACGATAAGTCTACGTTCGTATTTTGCTTCTAGAATAATTAATCCATCGTCTTTTTTATTTAAAAATGGTATAATTCTACAAACAGTTGGTTTTCGTTATGGCAAACCACTTGTGGATAAGTCTGTGTTTACTTTGGTTTTAATCAAATTAGAGATAGAATGTGTAAAAACTTCATTTGCATAGATTTAATCGAATCAAATCGAAGTTTATTTACCTGAATACATAAAGATTGGTACGAAGGCGCACCAAATAGATATGCGCCACATAAATCATTCGATATGTGTGAGGTGTGGAATATTGTTCAAGTACCCAAACCAAATCAGGTGATTTTGTTAGGAGAGCAACTTAAGGAGATGCAGTCCCATGGTAGCCGGTGACCAACGATAGGTTCATACACCATTTGTTCACTCAGAATACTGGGACTCATGTTCACCATTGGTTTGGAATCAGTGTTTATCAACTCCCCTAGGTGGACTCACCATATCCACTAACTCGGTTAAAAAGCCGGACATTCACTTATCGCCCTCTCAATTTCGAAAACAAAATAGATACCTCGGAAATTGCATCATCCATTTAGCTACTGAGTCTTTGTATGTTCAGAATCATAATCATCATCAACATCATCTTCTTCCTTTTTCGTCCTCTTCTTCTTCTCATCCTCCTTCCTCTAATCCATCTAATTTCATATCGACATTCTGTCTATGTTGCATATTCTCACTTCATTTTAGTTAATTAATTAATTCATTCATTCATTCGTCCAATAAATCACCTACCCTTGAATTAAAATTTAACTAAATAATGAAGTTCAATCAACGTCATGTCATATTAACTAATTTCCAAGCAAAATTATTTAGGTCATAAAGATCATCGCTAATTGTGTAGGCAATTAGAACCACATTTCAATATCACATTCTTTATGATTATTCAATTGAATAAGCCAATTTATTTGACCACATAACAACAACTTGTATACATTGTTGATAGTTTTGTTGGAGTATACTCTAATTTATGAAGTATCGTTTGTTTTGTAATTGTGGTTTCTCATTGATGGTGCTTTTGTCAATGGTGAATCGGTAGTCGGATACATCAAGATGGTTTCCGAGAAGTGACCCTTATCATATGACATATGGTGATTGCCATGATAAAACTGAGGCCAAAAGAGTATTGTATAACTATAGAAACTGCATTACACGGGTTCAATACGGTCTTCCTTCGACATACCGACAAACTCAACGAATTCAACAGAACTCTCAACAACAGTTTTCAATCCTTACAGGATCGACTGAAATTAAAAGAAACTACTATGTATCACAACTGGATAGGTATCAAAAACACTAAATATAAAGTTTCACGAAGTTCCGGGCCTCCACATGCATCATCACAAGGAATGGATCTCTATGGAAACTATGGGCAAGATTCAAGAAAGAAAGAAAGAAAAAGAAGACAGCAATTAACAACAGCTTAACAAGAACAGAGACAGTCAAGGCACAAGCCGAATACACCGAAACTAATAAGCAAGTGATGATAGGTATTAAAGCCGACAAGTAGAAATATGTGGAAGAGCTAGCAACGAGAGCAGACAAAGCTGCATGAGAAGAAAATGCAACACAGCTATATGACACATAGAAGAAACTGGTAGGGAATATGGTAAACCAGACAGACCAAACAGGAAAAAGAAAGGTAAGCTAATCAGTGAGATTCACGAACAGAGGAACAAATGCGTAAATCCATCGGACATCGAAGCAGCATACACAGACATTCTTATAGATGTTACTCCAACAACGGTCGGATAAATCAGGATGGTCGTCTGATAAATCAAGGGCGGGATGGCACTGGGATCTGACAATATACCAGCTGAATCTCTGGAGTCAGACATAGTAGTAACTGCAATATGCTCCATGTTCTATTAAGGAAGAGTTTTGAGGAAGAAAATGTGCCGATGAACTGGAAATGAGAACAGAAAAGAGATCTGAACAAATGTGAGATCTTCAACAATCCTAAAAGATGTACAGGCATTTACAAACAGCTATCCGAGCAAGATACTCCAGATCTGTTGACCATATAACATCACTAACAATATTCTCTAAAAGAGAACAAACAGCTTCAAGAGGAACAAGAAATGAGGTTTATTGGTTGACTGTGGACAGGATGGCATACGATGGGGTAGGATGGCATATGTCAACGTTGTGGAAATTCATAAATCGCATCACGAGGCATACTCTCACTAGAAATTTTGAAGGGAAAAGGAAAGGATTCAGACGAATGAACAAACGATCATTGGAATTGAAGACAGACAGTGAAAGGATAAACACCACTTGGCAACAAATGGAAAGTGGAATACAAGACAGAGTAGACCTGAGATTTATAGTCGGTGGTCTATACCTCAACATGTATAATTTAGTACACTCCACTTGATCTGTAGTTAGCTTATCTATCTTCATAACTCAGTGGTCAATACATGATGCTTGAATCATGAAACCACTAATTTCGTGCAATTTCGTCCTCTGTGCTGACTGTTCCAATATTGTAGCTCCCGTCCTCTCACTACAGGACACCATTATCACATATTTCCGATAGGGCAAACCGCTCATTTCTTTACACACACATATTCAGAACATTGTTTGAAAACAATCGGAAAAAACAAACAACTCAATTCTCTCAACATTATAAACATGTTCCTCTGGTGATTGCCAGCTAGCAGACAAACCAGCTAAACCAAATCAACTTGCAAATTCACCCTAACAATCCAACATCTAAATACCTCACACATGATATTTGCAAATTCATTGTTTGTTTCCTCCTGTTCATTAGTCAATTTAATCATCAAATTAAAGGTGACCAAAGTTCGTTCACTCGATCGACCAATCAAGTTTCAACATTCAACTATTATAACCACAATCGATTTGATATAAATGAGTATCATGTTATTTTCTACCATAATGTAAACATCATGAATGATTAACATTTCTATATTCATAATCAAAACTACTTATTTATTTCATCAGTAGTAGTAGTTGTAATAGAAGCAGTAATTTGTGTATCAATCAGTATTTCATCACTTTTACTACTTTCAATGAAATCATTTGTAAAATGTAAGCAATCTGTAATTGGGTAATCCATTCTCCTATTTGACTTATTTAATTCCGTTATTCACTAGTGAGATGTAAGTCGATAATCATATACGATGAATGACGATATGTATATTTCAATAGTAATTAGAAACGATCTTACTATGGTCAGATCCTGGGCAACTAAAGACACTAGACTGCTTCTACGGATTTTATGTATCATTGTTTCGGTCGATAATTCACTGTTTTCTAGTTGGCGGTATCATTATGTCATATATTAATCGGACACAAACTCACAAATTATAACACGTTATAAAATCATTTTTGATCAATTAATTTCCTTCTATTTTTGTAGTGAAAGTATAACGCTTTATTCCACTGAACTTATATTTTTCACGCTTGTGTGTTTGTTTGCTGTTACAACAGTCAATACATATTCCCTAGATACTTGTAAAGACTTACAGAATTCTAATCCTGCACTCACTCTGATTAGTTAGCGGATAGAATTAATCGAATGTCCATGTATCTGGGTAGCTGCATAAGTGCTGGTGGTGGCGTGAGTGATGAGAACGATTCAGGTATGGTGGAAAACAGAGCGGCTTATGCCAATCTAATCCATCTTTGACGACTTCGTTATGTCAGTCTGGCTGTAAACGGTCGATTCTACAACGTGTTGGTGAGAGCGGTTCTGTTTTATGCTTGTGAATCCTTGCCTCTCCGAGTTGAGGATGTTAAACGACTATCTGTGTTTGATCATCGTTGTTTCCGAAGGATTACTGACATCCAGTTGTAACTCCATGTTAGTATTGTAGAGGTTTGACATCGTGTGTTCGGGTGCAGAGACGATAATGCAATTGGTGTCACAATCTCGAAACATCGACTTTGGTGGCTTGAACATCATCTACGGATGTCGTCCCAGAGAATTCCACGTCGTGCATTATTTGCCGACTCTGGGACTGGTTGGAAGAAGCGGAGAGGTGGTCAGTGTATGACATGGTGTAGTGTTATGAAAGAAAGCTGCAAAGGGCTGGCCTGCGTTGCTCCTTCACGACTCCTTGGTTGGGGTCTGAAAGATGGTGCGACACAGCGGCTAGAGACGTTGTCAGATATGGTTCAGAATAGAAGCCAGTGGCAATTCTGCTGTACAAAACAAAAGATACTTCATAAATGAGAGTATACTCCAACAAAACTATCAACAATGTATACAAGTTGTTGTTATGTGGTCAAATAAATTGGCTTATTCAATTGAATAATCATAAAGAATGTGATATTGAAATGTGGTTCTAATTGCCTACACAATTAGCGATGATCTTTATGACCTAAATAATTTTGCTTGGAAATTAGTTAATATGGCACGACGTTGAATAAACTTCATTATTTAGTTAAATTTTAATTCAAGGGTAGGTGATTTATTGGACGAAATAATTAATTAATTAATTAAAAGGAAGCGAGAATATGCAAAATAGAGCAAATGTAGATATGAAATAAGATGGTTTAGAAGAAGGAATATGCGAAGAAGAAGATAACGAAGAATTAGAAGAATTAGAAGAAGAAGAAAAAGAAGAAGAAGAAGAAGAAGAAGAAGAAGAAGAAGAAGATGATGATGATGATGATGATGATGATGATGATGATGATGATGATGATGATGATGATGATGATGATGATGATGATGATGATGATGATGATGATGATGATGATGATGATGATGATGATGATGATGATGATGATGATGCATGTACATCCAGCTGTTCAGTCACAAATACGACGAAACACGATTCCTGGATTCCACTACTAGACATCATCCATCTTTTTGTTATAATGCATTTGAATGAAACCAATATTGAGGCAATCTGCATCGGATACACATTTGCTGTTAACAACGATGGGAATCTACAAGCAAACAATGCCATTTGAATTGAACTTTTTATTTGTGTAAATTATAGAACAGCAATACAGAAAATTTTCATGTTCACATTTGTTTTAATTCAACTAGTCCTAACAAAATTCGTAACTAAATTTACACACTGATTATTATGAAAAGGGAGTTTTTTGGATATTGTGGTAATTTTAATAATTGTGATCGTGAGTCAATTGAATCAAGACTGCCATGGAATATCTGAACGAAGTGGACGGCCATTTTGTCTTACTGTGGCACTCCTCAACAGTGCGTATTGTTGAGTCGGCTTTCGGAGAACTTCAACGGAGCTTCCAGCGGCCCAAAAAGAGCCGAAGCGTACTAGTCATTCAGAGCATGATGGAGAAGTGATAGGCATAAGAACTTTCGACGAAGATCTATTCAAACAACTTTTCTTGTCTAAACTTCCTCAACAGGTGCAAGCGGTTCTGGTTTCGTTTCAGAACAACGCCTTAGACGAGTTGGCTGCATCTGCCGATCGTATTTTAGAAATAACGAAATCGTCTACTACAGAGGTATTTTCAGTCAAAGAAAACCTCACACGGCTCAGAATGACATAACCGAGTTATGTGATACACTCACGCGCTATCTTAATCTTTGTAACGACCGTGATCGCTCACACAGCCCACGTAGAAGCATTTCACGTAAGCGATCTGTCTCTAGACCACGAGAGACGGATAACCCCGACTGGTGCTGGTATCATAACCAGTAGCGGCAATTCTGGATTACCGAGAAGCGACCAACGTCAAGCAATTACGAATCAGCATACGAAGGACCCTTCAAAGTTCTTCAACGCGAATCTAAGTACTATATATAGATACTTTGGAATTTATTTTTAATAAGCTTGATTATTCCAGATCAATCAGTCTATTTAGGTCAAGTAGTCTCCGTATCCAACGTTACTGAATAATACAATCAGTTAGTTTGAGAATCAAGATACAGTAACCTAAAAAACTATTCAGAATATGACGATAAGTCTACGTTCGTATTTTGCTTCAAGAATAATTAATCCATCGTCATTTTTAATTAGAAATGGTATAATTCTACAAACAGTTGGTTTTCGTTATGGCAAACCACTTGTGGATAAGTCTGTGTTTACTTTGGTTTTAATCAAATTAGAGATAGAATGTGTAAAAACTTCATTTGCATACGTTTAGTCGAATCAAATCGAAGTTTATTTACCTGAATACATAAAGATTGGTACGAAGGCGCACCAAATAGATATGCGCGACATAAATCATTCGATATGTGTGAGGTGTGGAATATTGTTCAAGTACTCAAACCAAATCAGGTGATTTTGTTAGGAGAGCAACTTAAGGAGATGCAGTCCCATGGTAGCCGGTGACCAACAATCGGTTCATACACCATTTGTTCACTCAGGATACTGGAGCTCATGTTCACCATTGGTTTGGAATCAGTGTTTATCAACTCCCGTAAGTGGACTCTCCATATCCAATTTCGTAAACAAAATAGATACCTCGGAAATTGCATCATCCATTTAGCTACTGAGTCTTTGTATGTTCAGAATCATCATCACCTTCTTCTTCTTTTTCTTCTTCTTCTTCTCTTCCTCCTTCCTCTAAACCATCTAATTTGATACCTACATTCTGTCTATGTTGCATATTCTCACTTCATTTTAATTAATTAATTCATTCATTCATTCGTCCAATAAATCACCTACCCTTGAATTAAAATTTAACTAAATAATGAAGTTCAATCAACGTCGTGCCATATTAACTACTTTCCAAGTGGAAATATGTAGGTCATAAACATTACCGCTAATTGTGTAGGCAATTAGAACCACATTTCAATATCACATTCTTTATGATTATTCAATTGAATAAGCCAATTTATTTGACCACATAACAACAACTTGTATACATTGTTGATAGTTTTGTTAGAGTATACTCTAATTTATGAAGTATCGTTTGTTTTGTAATTTTATTCTCATTCAGTTGTTCGAGAATTGTGGTTTCTCATTGATGGTGCTTTGGTCAATGGTGAATAGGTACTGGGATACATCAAGATGGTTTCCGAGAAGTGACCCTTATTATATGGTGATTGCCATGATGAACCTTTGGCTAAAGGAGCATTGGATAACTATAGAAACTGCATTACACGGGTTCAATACGGTCTTCCTTCGACATACCGACAAACTCAACGAATTCAACAGAACTCTCAACAACAGTTTTAAATCCTTACAGGATCGACTGAAATTAAAAGAAACTACTATGTATCACAACTGGATAGGTATTAAAAACTCTAAATATAAAGTTTCAAGAAGTTCTGGGCCTCCACATGCATCATCACAAGGAATGGATCTCTATGGAAATTATGGGCAAGATTCAGGAAAGAAAGAAAGAAAAAGAAGACAGCAATTAACAACAGCTTAACAAGAACAGAGACAGTCAAGGCACAAGCCGAATACACCGAAACTAATAAGCAAGTGATGATAGGTATTAAAGCGGACAAGTAGAAATATGTGGAAGAGCTAGCAACGAGAGCAGACAAAGCTGCATGAGAAGAAAATGCAACACAGCTATATGACACATAGAAGAAACTGGTAGGGAATATGGTAAACCAGACAGACCAAACAGGAAAAAGAAAGGCAAGCTAATCAGCGAGATTCACGAACAGAGGAACAAATGCGTAAATCCATCAGACATCGAAGCAGCATACACAGACATTCTTATAGATGTTACTCCAACAACGGTCTAGGAAATCAGGATGGGCGTCTGACAAATGAAGGGCGGGATGGCAGCAGGATCTGACAATATACCAGCTGAATCTCTGGAGTCAGACATAGTAGTAACTGCAATATGCTCCATGTTCTATTGAGGAAGATTTTTGAGGTAGAAAATGTGCCGATGAACATCGCCAACAATATACTCTAAAACAGGACAAACAGCTTCAAGATGAACAGGAAATGAGATTTATTGGCTGACTGTGGATAGGATGGCATACGATGGGGTAGGATGGCATAGGTTAACGTTGTGGAAATCCATACAGCGCATCACGAGGCATGCTCTCACTAGAAATTTTGAAGGGAAAAGGAAAGGAGTCAGACGAATGAACAAACGATCATTGGAATCGGAGACAGACAGTGAAAGTATAAACACCACATGGCAGCAAATGGAAAGCAGAATACAAGACAGTGTAGACCTGAGATTTATAGTCGGTGGTCTATACCTCAACATGTATAATTTAGTACACTCCACTTGATCTGTACTTATCTTATCTATCTTCATAACTCAGAGGTCAATACATGATGCTTGAATCATGAATCCACTGATTTGGTGCAATTTCTTCCTCTGTGCTGACTGTTCCAATTTTGTAGCTCCCGTCCTCTCACTACAGGACACCATTATCACATATTTCCGATAGGGCAAACCGCTCATTTCTTTACACACACATATTCAGAACATTGTTTGAAAACAATCGGAAAAAACAAACAACTCAATTCTCTCAACATTATAAACATGTTCCTCTGGTGATTGCCAGCTAGCAGACAAACCAGCTAAACCAAATCAACTTGCAAATTCACCCTAACAATCCAACATCTAAATATCTCACACATGATATTTGCAAATTCATTGTTTGTTTCCTCCTGTTCATTAGTCAATTTAATCATCAAATTAAAGGTGACCAAAGTTCGTTCACTCGATCGACCAATCAAGTTTCAACATTCAACTATTAAAACCACATTCGATTTGATATAAAAGAGTATCACGTTATTTTCTACCATAATGTAAACATCATGGATGATTAACATTTCTATATTCATATTCAAAACTACTTATTTATTCCATCAGTAGTAGTAGTTGTAGTAATAATAATAATAATATATGAATCAATCAGCATTTCATCACTTTTACTACTTTCAATGAAATCATTGGTAAAATGTAAGCAATTTGTAGTTCGCTTTTCTCTTCTCTCAGTTCATTCTTCTTTTTCATGTATGTAGCCTACATGGATCTCTATCATGGATCATTAATCCGACTGTATTCTCCCAAATACATCACCACATATCTTCATTGTTTCTTCTAAATGATCTCATAGAATTCATTGATAAACTGAATAGATAATTAACTGTTCATGTGAATTCATTCAATCACGTTGAAATATTACCATAATACAGTACATGCTCTCATCTGAATGTTGTTTCATCCAAACAGCTTTCCACCATTGAACACTGTAATTATTGATCTATGTTAAGTCAATTGTGAAACATGCATAATAGATGTATTTTATTCAATATCATATTGTTAAAATACTTGTATACATAAACAATTCCAATGTTCTCATACATATATGTAATTACAATAATGATATAATAGAATATAGTTTCATACTGTACCATTGTTTTCGATTTTGTGAATAATTGGAACATCTTGTTGATTTCTCAAATGGTCTATTCAATGAAGATAAATTATTTGATGAGAATTCGTTAAACATGAACTTTGTCCCTATTTAGCACAAGTTGTCAGTACGTTCTTTTGTTTTATACAACACCATATCAATGCAGTTTACTTCATTCTGTAATGAATATTCATTTAAGATGGTGGTTGGAGGCAGTCAACAGGAAACCCTGCACCCGTGTCTCATGCTACGTGGCACTCGACAGGAAATTGTACCTGTTATCTTGAGGGAACTGTTGCCTCCTGGTTCACTCGATCCCGTGCCATCCAGCTACACAGTCAGAGATAGTCCAGTGATAACATCTCTGGTGAAGAGTTTCCTGTTGACCACCTCCAAACACCATCTTATCTCAACATATTGCACACAATGTCCAGTCACCTAAACTAACTTCCACATCGCAA